ATCATCATCATCATCATCATCATCATCATCATCATCATCATCATCATCATCATCCTCCTTCTCCTTCCTCTCCTCCTCCTCCTCCCCGACCTCCTCCCCCTCCTCCCCCTCCTCCTAATCCCCCTGCTCCTCCTGCTCCTCTTGCTCCTCCTGCTCCTGCTCCTCCTCCTGCTCGTCCTACTCCTTCTGCTCCTCCTGCTCTCCTGTTCCTCCTTCTCCTCCTCCTCCTCCTCCTCCTCCTCCTCCTCCTCCTCCCTCCTCCTGCTCCTCCTCCTGCTATTCCTCCTCTCCTCCCTATTCTCCTCGGCCTCCTCCTCCTCCTCCTCCTCCTCCTCCGCCTCCTCCTTACATCTCATCATGTCATCATCATCATCATCATCATCATCATCATCATACATCATCATCCTCATCATCATCATCATCATCATCACATCAGCATCATCATCATCATCATCATCATCATCCTGCATCATCATCATCATCTCATCAATCATCATCCTCATCATCATCATCATCAGCATCACATCATTCAGCAGCAAGCATCCAACTCATCAATCATCAATATCATCACTATCATCATCATCATCATCAGCATCATCATCATAATCAGCATCACATCATCATCAGCATCAGCATCAGCATCAGCATCAGCATCAACATCATCATCATCATCATCATCATCATCATCATCATAATCATCATCATCATAATCAGCATAACCACCATCATCAGCATCATCTTCATCATCATCACAATCATCCTCATCAGCATCATCAACAGCATCACCATCATCAGCACCATCATCACCACCATTGTCATTATCATAATCACCATCATCAGCATCTTCATCAGTATCATCAGCATCAGCATCATCGTCATCAGCATCAGCATCATCATCGTCACCACCATCATAATCATCCTTATCATCATCATCATCATCATCATCATCATCATCATCATCATCATCCTCATCCTCATCATCATCATCATCCTCATCATCATAATCATCATCATCAGCATCAGCACCACCATCAGCAGCATCCCCATCACCACCATCATCATCAGCATCAGCATCATCAGCAACAACAACATCATCACCATCATCATACATCTCCTCCTCCTCCGCCTCCTTCCGCTCCTCCCGCTCCTCCTGCTCCTCCTGCTCATTCTCCTCCTCCTCCACCAGCTTCTCATCGTCATCATCCTCATCACCAACATCATCATCAGCATCATCATCAGCAGCATCATCATCGTCATCATCATGATCATCATCATCAGCAGCATCATCACCATCATCATCATCATCATCATCAGCATCACCATCATCACCACCATCGTCATCATCATCATCATCTGCATCTGCATCATCATCATCAGCATCATCATCACCATCGCCAGCATCGTCATCATCGTCAGCATCATCATCATCATCGTCATCATCGGCATCATCATGATGACCATCAGCGCCAGCTGCATCGTCGCCTTCGTCATCATAAACAGCATCAGCATCAGCAGACTCATCCTCATCAGCATCAGCATCAGTATCATCGTCAGCACCATCACCATCATCGTCAGCAGCATCATCAGCATCGTCATATGGATCATCATCAGCATCAGCAGCATCATCATCATCATTATCATCATCATCGTCATCGTCGTCGTCATCTGCAGTTGAGGCTAGTCCACAAGACCCGCAAGAATCCTAACACTGAGACCCCAGGACGTCCATTGATTGGTGTTGGAACGGCACGCCTTCCACTGCACGATCATCAACACCCAAGAAACCCAGGGCACCCTGGAGGCAAGCAGGTTGTTTCTTGGCATGGGCCTCCACTGTACATCGTCATCGTCATTGTCATCGTCGTCATCGACATCATCATCATCATCAGCAGCAGCATCATCATCATCATCAGCAGCAGCATCATCAGCATCATAATCATCAGCATCATCATCATCATAATCAGCATCGTCACCATCATCAGCATCGTCATCATCAACATCAGCATCAGCATCAGCGTCATCAGCATAAGCATCATCCTCAGCAGCAGCATCATCTCATCATCAGCATCCGCATCAGCATCATCATCCTCTTCATCCTCCTCATCATCATCGTACCATCAGCATCAGAATCGGCATCGGCATCAACATCAGCAGCATCACCATCACCACCATCAGCATCAGCATCATCTTCGGCATCATCAACATCATAAGCATCGGCATCATCATCAGCAGCATCATCACCACAACCCCCACCAGCATCATCAGCATCAGCATCCTTATCATCACCATTACCAACGCCAGCATCGTCATCATCGTCAGCATCATCATCATCGTCATCATCGTCATCCTCACCATCATCATCATCACCATCATCATCAACATCATCAACATCATCATCATCAGCATCATCATCATCATCATCATCATCATCATCATCATCATCAACATCATAATCATCATCGTCATCATCACCACCATCATCATCATCCTGTTACTCCTCCTGCTCCTCCTCTTCCTCATCCCCCTTCTCCTCCCTCTCCTCCTCCAATTCCTCCTTCTCCTCCTCCTCCTCCTCGTCCTGCTTCTCCTCCACCCCCTCCCTCTCCTCTTCCCCCCCTCCTCCTCCTCCTCCTCCTCCTCCTCCTCCTCCAGCTCTTTCTCTCTTTGCTCCCAGCTCATCCCTCATCCTGGTGCGCCAGGCCTCCTTGCCCTTATCCCTCTCCCTCTCTCACTCTTCCTCCTCCTGCTGATCCTCCTCCTTCTTCCCAACAACTGGCCACTCCTCATCGATGCCCTCCTGGATGGGGATGCGGAGCTGTAGGAGTAGAAGGATGAGAAGGAGGGGGGAAGGTGTAGGGAAAGGGAAAGGGAGGGGGGGAGAGGGAAAAGGAGGAAGAAGAGGAGGATGAGGAGGACGAGGGGGAGGAGGAAGAAAGGGAACAAGAAAGAGGGGACGAGTCGAAGCCAGAGAAGGGGGTGGAGGGAGTTGAGTAGGTGAGGAAGAATGGAAGGAAAGAAGGAAGGGGGCAAGAGGGGGCAACCGAGGGTGCGGGTCAGAGTCCTGTAGTCGTCCTCGAGGATCCCGAACCACTCCTGCTCCCACCTCGGCTTCGCGTAGCGGATGAAGTCCCCGGTATTGATGTCGATGTACCCATCCGCCCACTTCTTACCGAGGAGCGAGGAGGGAGGGAGGGATAAGGGAGGGGCCCCGTGTCCGAGGGAAGGAGGAGGAGGAGGAGGAGGAGGAGGAAAAGGAGGACAAGGAGGAGGAGGACAAGGGGCATGAGGGACGAGGGCTGAAGGGGAAGGTGTGGGAGAGAAGGACGTTCGAGGAGGGTTGAGGTGGGGGGCGGGAGGTGGAGGAGTGAAGAGGAGGAGGCGGAAAAGGAGGAGGAGGAGGAGGAGGAGGATGGAAGAGGGAGGATGATGCGGCAGGAAGCGGAAAAGACGAAGAAGGAGGAGGGAGGAGGAGGATGAGGAGGAGGGAGAAAGGGTGACGAGGAAGAGCAAGGGGGGTGGGTCCGAGTAGCACCGTTCAGAGCCCAGTAGGCGAAGTCCACGTCGCGAGCGGCCAGGTAGTGCGAGAAGTGCAGCCAGTGGTTGCTGGGCAGACCGGTGCCGAACTCGCCCATCCAGACGGGAGCCGTGTAGTCGTAGCCCGGCTGCAGGGCAAAGCCCCACATGTTGTCGAGGTGCTGCTGCATCAGCCAGTAGGAGGGCGCCATGCAGGCCCACACGAAGAGCCCGGCGCACACGACCGCCAGGGAGGCGGAGAGCACCAGGCACTGCAGGCCGCAGCACAGCCCGCAGTCCCACGGGGGCGGCTGGAGCTCCTCGGCACGGGGTCGCCGTCGTCGTC